CTAGCACTCAGTTCGCAAATAGTGTAAACCGTTTGGAGGTGGTTGGATTCTTTTGTTTTCCCTTCAAGGATTACCAAAAAGGGTCCCTTTATTTTGACATCAGTTCGCATGTTGTCCCATGCTAGCCCCCTAGCTCATTCACATTCCTTGGAAGTCCAGATTCACTTGCCACGAAATACGTAGGTCTCAGAATAGGGGTACCCCTGGCCTTGGAAACCATGGGGATTGAATGAAGTACGATGGGTCTCTAAGCAGCTATAATCAAACATACGTGAGACAAGTACCAAGCATTGAAATGGGAAATTGCAGGTAGCTGAATTGCACGAGGTTATTGAATCCACATGTGTTGTGATTGGTACCATGGAAGACTTCATTGATCCAAAGAATAGGTCGCGCTACTACGGGTCCGTGATTTGTGTCCCTACTAGGAGCCACCATTTTTTTATGGGGAACCACCATTGCTGTAAGCATTCGATAACATTTTGAAGGAAGTTGATCACCTCTGGTCGGTGCTTTTTTTGTGGTTTCGCTCTACTGCCACAAAGAAGTTTGTCAGAATACAAAGTCTCCTGTGTGGTTGGTTTTTGGAAAAACGAGGCTCCCGACATCGGGAATTTTGCAGGGCACCTTGCTGTCAACGTTGGCTTACCTCATGTTGAAATGACTGATTTTTGAAAATGCTCGACCTGCTCAAAGCCTCACATCAGGCATGAGTCAACTGGCATACTTCAACAGCATCACAAAATCACCGCACAGCACACACACACACACACACGCACACGCAAGGTCTACCTAAAGGCTCATCGCCACACACATCACATCACAGCACACGCGCAGCCTCGCAAGTTTTGTTGGGTTCTGCTTTTGCTGGGTGCGGCTTTTCTGCCCGCCTGGCAACTTGCTTGGCGCGGCTTTTCTGCCCGCCTGGCAACTGCAGTAGCCTAGGCGCGGCTTTTCTGCCCGCCTGGCGTCGCCATGGCTGCGCCGAATCCGGCATTTGTGTTGCTGGCAGACCTTCTGCGAGACTCGGTGTCCGACCTGCCTTCTTGGATTGGCTTTACGCCGGTGGCAAAACGGACGTTTGCCACCCGAGATGGGACTCGGATTTTGACGGGGCCAAGGCCGATCGGGATGGCTTGACCGAGGCTTTAGCTTCCACTACAGTGGTGGTGCCGGCGTTGCTGCTCTGGCTTGATGACTTCATGACTGCACACAGGGTGCACAGCTGCTGGAAGCACACGCTGGACGGTGGCTGTCTCTGGCATCAGTTCGAGCAGGGTGGCGACAATTATTTGTTCAACGCCATGTGGGCCTTGACTTTGACTGTGGTGTGCTGGCTGCGCCACATGTGCAAAGGCAAGAAAGTGCCACAGGTCCGGCTGATTTGTCTTTGCAATGCTGGCAAGCATCGCAGCGTGTTCTCTTCGCGGATGCTATACTTTGTGCTCCAGCTTCTTTACGACCTGCTGGGGATCCAGCAGCGAAGGTTTACTTGGCAGTGGGCCGCTCCCGGCGAGTGCAAGCGGAGCTGAGCGAAGCAGCTCAATGCCGCGACAACAAGGCGGCGAAAGTCTGCTTCCGACAGGCGGACCTGGTGGTGTCGCGCACCCGACGGATGTTCCTTGGCGGCCGAGTTCCGGCGCACTTGCACAGCGTGCAGATGTTGGACAAGGACCTTCGAGAGACGTCCACGACTGTATCCGCTGGCTACAGCGATATTTGCCTCGACACGCGCAAGTTCATCCAAGCGGCTGCCGCCGAGCGCGGCACGCCCCTCAGAAAAGCTTGGCTGGCAGACTGGCTGGAAGGCGCCGGCCTCGCTGCCCTTACCGCTCAAGGCCGCGCTGTGCTTCAGCAAGCTTCCCGCGTGCGTATGGCCCGCCACTGGTGCCCTATCATGCGCGCTCTGCAGCAAGCTTTCCCGGAGCGCTGTGGCTTGTGCGCCTGTCCCTTTCAGCTCAGCACGCCTTGGGACACGCTTGCAGCGGAAATACACGAGCACTTCATTTCTACTGGGGATGGTGCGTCTTTTCTGACCACCTCCCCGGAAGCAGCGTCTGTTGCGGCTTTTTTGAACGCTTCCCCAAGAGCAGCCTCTGGCAGTGGTGCGGCTTTTCGGCCCGCCGCTGCCGGGGAAGGTGCGTCTTTTCTGACCGCCTCCCCGAAAGCAGCCACGACTCGCAGACCTGCGTGGGCTGACGTGCAGGACGACTCTGCCCACGCCGCGGCTGCGCCCAGCGCCAAGAAAAAGAAAAGGGTGTCCTTCGCGCCAGAGGTGGCCCAATCTGCCGCGGCCGACGTGGAGGACACCGCGCTGTGCTTGGTGCTGCCTTGCGATGCCCCACTAGGCGTGCTCTTTCAGCCAGGTGCGCAGACGCTGTCTCGGCGCGGGGTGGACTGCTTGCTTGACGTTACTTCGGACGCGACCTTGCTTTCGTTCCGGGTCATACAGAGCGCGGAGGACGCTCAAGGCTTGATTGCCTACGCTAGCGAGTTGCTGGCATCTAGTCGGGAGTTGCAGCAAGAGCTTGCAGCGCTGCAGCGTATGCTTGTTGCCGCGGAGGTTTTTCCGGAGTTGCCTCTTGGTGGTATGCCGGCCATGGCGCTCTTCCAGTGTCTGGTCTTCCTTTACATGTGGTCGGTGCTCACCTTGAATTATTCATTTTTGCTGTCCAGCACCTTCTTAAGACTGGTGGCTTTGCCGCTGCAGGAGGCGAAAATTTTTGATATCTTGGCCGTGGTGCACAAGTACTGCTACGTCACGTGGCTCCACCGGACGGCGCGTCCGAGCTGCTGGCAAGGCAACGCTCTCCGCTTATTGCTGCCAGACACTGCCGACTGGGAGGCTGGGTGGGCGGCGCAGCAGGACGTGGCGCACGAAATTGATGAGACTGCCTTCTCGGAAGAGTACGCGCTTATGTGCAGGGATCCTTTGATCCCCGAGGGCTACCGGGCAGACTTGAAGCAGGTGCGGCGCCATGTGGCTGCTTCCGATCTCGGCTTGCTGCCCGAGCTTCCGCCGCGGCAGTCCTTTATGGAGCACGATGTTTACTTGGAGGCAAGCGGCGCTTTGCCCTTGCCGAGAGCCTTGCCGGCCATTCGATGCTCGGCCGGGGCGATGGAGGTGAACTGGGGCGACAACACTGGTGAGCCCCTAAACACTTCGCGGGACAATGTGATCTCCGAGACGGATGTCTGCTTGCAAGTCCCGTTGCCGGTGCCTGCAGATATGACTTTGGGGCACGTCCTGCTTTCAAGGGACTGGCGAGCCTCTTTCGAGCAATCCAATCTCGGCATGCCTTGGTGGATGTCAGACGCAGGCGGCTTTTCTGCCCCTGCTGCTGGCCACGCAGGCGGCTTTTCTGCCCCTGTCTCAGCCCTTGGAGCGCAAATCCACTTGCAAGCTTTGGGAGCTGAAGTCATGGCCACGCTGAGGCCCGACAGTGTGATGCATCCACACTTGCGAGCACACGTGGAGCTCATGCTGGGCATGTGTGCTTCCGTGCACTTGGCGCGCCAGGAGGCTTGGGATGTTGCCTTGTATGACTTTCTTTTAGGCTGCGGCATCAGAGCGCAGCGCACGCGTCCTGGCGATGCCGATGCCGGCTGGGTGGCGCATAACTACCGCAAGAGGCACCACGCTGCCCGCTCTGTGGTGCGACCCGTTTGCTGCACCATGTGGGGTGAAAAGTATCGCCCCATTGGATACTTAAACGATGCGGGGGACATCCAGCACTACTTGGTGCACGACACATGCCCTCTTGGAAGATGTCGCAGGCACAAGCAGCTTATGGGCTTTGGCACCGTGTGCCCACACTGGCATGGCTTCAACAAAAAACACGGCATCATGGCCACTCTGAACGCGCAGCGATACTTGAGGTACACGGAGATCGGAAGCAAAGGGGCTGACCCGCGCGCGCGAGACCAGCGGGCCAGCCAGTATCTTCGCACGCTTTTGCAGGAGTTAGGCTTTGTGGCCCGTGCGGACGAAAGAGCAGCAGACGGCGATGACCGCGTGATGCTCATAGGCCTTCCCCGCTTGGCTCCCTGAGTTTCACAGCAACGAAGGCCAAGACATACCCGGCTTGGTTGCCTTTACTCCGCTGCACGCCAAAAAACACTTCGAGCAAAATGACATTGACGAGTGTCTCCAGCTTCGCACCGCGGCGCAAGAGGTGCACGATGACCTTGAACGCTTGACAAGACAGCGCTGAATGCGCTTGAGATGCGCCAGGGTGCGTCTTTTCTGACCGCCCGGCGCTTGCCAGGCCGTGTGCCTTGCAGTGTGCCTTGCCTGGCAGCATGCGTCTTTTCTGACCGTGCTGCCTTGAACAGAGACAAAGTGAATCTGCCCGCATAAAAAGGAAAAAGAGCCGGTGGGACAACGGGCGGGCGGATGGTAACAAAGGGTAAATGATGGAGGCTTAAGACTTGTCAAACATTTGCGGTCAGGCAGGCTCCCTGTCAGCCAGGTTTTCTTTCCAGTTTTTGTCCGAGCGGTGGAATAGTTGCCTGTGAAGACATGACCTGTTGATTTCTTTTGTGACCGTTTGGCCATGTTCGTCACAAACAAAACATGATTGGTTTTCAATTTGGCCCCAAACATGTTTGCCCTGGTTGTTCAAGCCTCCTATAGTGGTTCTTTTTTAGAAACTTCCGCCACCGCCTTGCGCGGTACTACTTGTAGCTTGGCCCTGGTTCTTCTTGAGGGTAAATGAGAAACCAGCCCCCTAACCTCCAGAGCACCAATCAATCCAAACCACCAACTACAGCAGAAGCTGATTCAACACCCACAGATCGACCTCAAAGGGGTCTATGGAAGTGAGCTGTGACATGCATTTGTCCTATCACAGAGCGCATACGCCACGAGCAAGGGATTGAATGCCAGCACTGCCAGTACCGCAAGGAAAGTGATGAAGAAACAAATGACTCATCAAACACCCCCAATCCACCAAACCGATAGGGGACAGCAATCATCCCCCCAGTCCCGTTGGATGGTCCTGGGTTGACCCAAGGGTGCTCCTCCGAGACTCCCGCCACTCACGTCGAAGGCATCTGCGGGCAATACATGTTGTGTGCAGATCTGTGGGTCAAACTTCGACTTCACGGAAGAAGTCGAAGAAACACCGCTTTTGAAGGTACTACAAGAAACTTGGACAAATCTTAGATACTTCTAAAACTAGCAAAACTCATGCACTGAAAGCAGGGAACACCCAAGGGTTCTTCATCATGGGTGAGCTCGTTTACCCAGAATGATTGACCGGAGCGTGCTTCAGGTAGCCAGAAGCTTCGGGGCCCATGCTTGGAGTGCCTGTGAGCATAAAGAAGAGGCCGATCTGCGTAGTCAAAGGGTCGATGGTATTGGCAGTGCCTTCAAAGAAGACCTCGCGAGACAACAGGACGGACAAGCTTCACGTGTTACCAGTGGAATATGGCGTCTCACAAACTGGGACCTTAAACATGCTGTTGGTCGCCTCTGCAAACACTCAGGATCACCCAAGTTTGTCCGAAATCTACCCACTGAGATAATGATCCTCCAGGCGCGAACCTCATGATTGGAGCCCCTTCTGTCAGAACCGCGTGCCGAGCCACTGTTAGGTCTGCCGTGCTACTGCCGGCCATTCTCAGGAACGGCTCCGTGTTCCGCGATGCCATGGCCAGACAAAGCTACGCAGCCAAGTGCCGAAAAACAGGGCTCCCCACATCCAGGAGGAAAATCATCCCAAAGTTGCCCAACAGGTGCTGTTTAACCCCGGCTGAGAGGGGCCACATGTGGACGCCTGTCAAAAAGGCAACTTGCACCCAGCGCTTGAAAGACCTCTGCTGAACCGCAGCTCCTCATGGCCAGGCTTGCGAAGCTTGGGCCATTGGCTCCGGCCAAGTCTTTTGCACAGCCATGGGAACAGGGACGGCTTCGAGTTTTGCGTCCCGGGCCCTGTGGCGGACATCATTTGGGGGATTCATGTCCATCGAACTTCGCAGCCATCCATTTCTCAGCATAGAAATCTGTCTGTGGTTCAAGCCTGAGCAAAGAAATGCTTGGCCCGATTTGGATGATTCTCCTTAGCTAAACGATGGCGGTCATATATTAGCACGCATGGTTTTGATGGCGGTTTGAACGCCATGACATTACCTGCAATAGATTTTGCTCAGGGGGTAGGGCGTGCGCTTAGGCCCATGCTTGTCTCGTGCAGGCGCAGGTTTCGTACATGCAGCCTGGGTGACGGCAAACAGGTGTCATGAAATAAGCAGCCGTGTCCTCTAGTCTTGTAGGTGTCCTCTTGACACAACATCCCGTTAAAGTAAGCTCAAGAGACATGCAAAGGGGGAGCATTGGGAACCCCTCACAATTGAGGCTCTCCGGCAATGAGTCACACGATTTCCAAGCAGCGTTTGAGAAGGACGCTTCTTCTCCCATACCGAGCAGCTGCCTACCCGATGCAGCGCTCGTGGTTGGCTCCTTTGACGAACATATGAGCTCCAATAAGAGGGTGTTCCCCAATTCCAATTCATCTTGGGCTAAGGCCTCCACGGCAGGTCTCCCTCCTCCCTCCCATGCATGACGGGCTGTGCGCTTTGAACTGGCGGTGAGCCACGGACAGTGTCATGCCACCCAGCCAATATCACACACACAGAGACACGCTCGAGGGGGTCCGGCATCAGGCATGGCGAACTGAAATAGTGCCGGCAATATTTTCAACATGTTCAGGTGGCTGTTTTGCAAATCCAGGGCGTGATCGCAGGCTGCATTTGAGCCAGCGAAGAAGCGTGGGCCGTGCGCCCTCATAAGCCGGCCTGGTATAGTTCATGCACAGCTGGGCACACAAGTCACCCACACAAACAAAAATGGGCGTACAAAGGACGCCCTCACTCTCGCGCACTCATTTACTCACTCACTGACCCACCTACTGCACGGCACGGCACCGCACCGCAAAGCACGCACGCACCAACCGACAGCTCCGGCCAAACTGTCCTTCAGCCAAAGGAGTTGCACGCATGGCGACCGCATGTGGTGTCTCAACATGGTGGTTTAAGCAATGGTTTTACATCTGTTCAAAGGGCTATCCCCCAGCCCTGACTAGCACCCACGGCCTCCCAGCTGCCAATTGCGCCGCTGAAGCTGGCGGAGGCGGCCTAGCCAGTCTCAGAAGTCGGGACCCCAAATCCCTAGTTTAGGACATCGCCTCCTCCAATGATTCTCACATGTCCAAATGCACTTGGACATGGGCCTGGGGGTTACCTTCAGAGGCAATCAAATTTGAGAGCCTGGAGGCAGGGATTCTATGCCAATCGCCACTCGAAGTGCATGCAAAACAGGGGTGACCCCCGAGGCGGTTGGGATGTTCTCTTGCTTGTGATACTTAGAGCATCCATCGGGTGCTAAGCAAACTTGGTGTTGCCATCTTGTTTCACAGCTCAAAAGGCATAACCCTTTGGCCTACGACCTGCGCACCCGACTCACAAGCCTTTCAAGCCGCTTTCAGCGCAGGTGTGAGGTCCGTCCGTCCGTCCGTCCGCGGCGGCATCTGGCCCAGGCCTCCTTGTCCAGGGGCCTCCTGGAGGCAATGGCATGGCCCACTGCCCCCAAGTGTTGCCAGTAGCAAATACTTCATGTTTGATTCATAAATTGGGCGGATGGATGGGGGGTTCCCGAACATGGCGGCAACAAATGAGACGAACCACCGCTGCACCATGCGGATTCTAATTCTGCGCTAGCATTGGCGTTGCAGAATGGGTGTATACAACCACTTCTTGGTGTCCTGCGGGGCCGCTGGAGCAGGCCTTCGCGGATAACCAAGGTGAGACCTACATTCAAACACACCAAGGTGCTGTGGGTCTCCAGGTTCAAGTCCGGGATTGGCATGCGCTCCGTTTCGATTTTCCAAGCCATGGTACTATCGGAAGCTTGCCGTGCTAAAAGGTCACAGAATCGCCAGCTGCTACTGCCGCCACAATAACGCCTTGTCTGAGAGTGTCCACTGCCAAGAAATAATTCAAGCCACTCGCAAGACTTCTCCGTTATGAGGTTCTGAGTGATTGCCGCCAAAGCATTCCAGAACGCTTTTGGCCTTGCTCCAGCGCTAGGCAGGTTCGAACACTTCACACCATCATTGCTGAACAATTCTTCTGTGGGTTATCCTGTCAAAGGCCCTGGTCCCGTCCATTTTCCCACGAACTTGACACCAAAGAATATGCAAACAGGGCATCTATAGATATCCAGCTGGTCTCCCGAAGGGGGTGGCTTTGCAACCCCAACTAAGATGCCATGTGTGCCCCATGGGAGATGGGTTGGAAACCGCTGCTCTCTCCAGTGGTTCACTCATACCAAACCGGGATTTCTTGCCTTAGCTTATCACTTCCAAGTTGGTTCTATCGCAGGAAGTGGCATCAACGCCCCATCTTTTACCAGCCTAACACCCCGCAAGCGGTGAACCGGTTCTTCCCCTGGCACAAGCTTCGGACTCCGCACGCGCGGTCCTTGGCACAGACTCTCCCTGCCCCACAGGCGGCGCCGACCTCGAGGTGCCGAAGCCCCCCACCCCGTTGGGTGAGGTCCCTCAAAGACTCGAAAACAGATAGCAACATAGGTGTCCTTTTAGGGCACATGGATGGCCCTGGTAGATGATTAAACTACCAGGTAAACCAGGGCCATCTATTTTTCTACCAAAACAACCAAAAAGGACACCGATGCATGGCAACCCACAAAATAGCCTTGGCTTAAGAATTCGCTGGCTGACACCTACCTTTTGGCACCTACCCATGTCCCCCCCTCATTTTGTCCAATGGCCGCCCAACCAGCTGCCTCTGCAATTTGCCACAAAGACCCATGTACATACCCGGTTCATACTGCTACAACGTACCAAGCTCGCCAAGTCCAAAAGTCTCTCTAGTATGGCTGGGAAGCATAACCTATTGATCGAGGAAATGCTAGCAGTCACCTATCCAGGGGTATTAGTTTGGGCACTCAGACGTTGCAAAGACTAGCCAACCGCCGTCTTACACTCTGAAAGCAGACGTGGCAAGCAGAGGGGATGACGAGAGTTGGAATCGTGCCACATGTTCTCGTACTCTAACCCAACTGTATTCTGCCCACACCAAAAAACAAATCAAACATAACGCAAAACAAACACCTTCGGGATGCATCAACAACTAGATTTGCTTCCAGCCTGTGGCCCTACACGAAACAAAACAAAAAGGAAAGGGTATCAGGGGCTTTCTTCATTCGCAACGCTAGGGCAATCCTTGCAAACACCATCGTGTCCTTGCACCCTGAACCTCGGACTTGTTTGAAAGCCAATCCTCGGGGTGTAACTTGCGACTCCGCGAGACTTGGAGCCAATCAAATACAACAGCTTGGTTGGACGGGAAGCTCCGCTGGCCAAACTTTTGCCATATTGATTGATTCGTTTCATCTGCCAGTTGGAATAAAACCCGGGGCTCCATTTTTTGAGAAAGATGCCCTTCATGGCCCAAATCTCTCTTCAAAGATCCGTGAGGGCCCCGCTTCTTCCGCCAGACCGCTGGCACTCGGGAGTCCTCTCTGGGCGCCTGTGCCATTGGAATTTGGCCATACCCAAAAGAAGAACAAATTGATCGCTCGGCTAAGATCACATTTCCCCCCAACGAATCCTTCCTCACGGTCGGCATCATCTGGCTTGCCCAACGGGCAGTATACTTCACCGGCTGTATACTTCACCGGCTTCTGTTGCCAGCCCTTTGACACTGGGCAATTCTTCACCGTTGAAGGAGAAACGTCGTCAACACAACTGCTCCGCAATGCTAATTTTGTTGTTTGGAGGTGAATTCATCCAGTTGGCGGGTTCTGCCGGTGAATTGGCGGGGTCCATGGAGCCGTGGGTAAGCCTCACATCGGCCCCGAAAAGGCCATGCCGCCAACCCCAAAACAAAAAGGGGCTCCCCGAACAAAGGACACCTCACATGGCCCAGGTGGATGGACGACATCCTTTCCCATGGCTTCAAAGTGGCGCGAAATGGAGTTCGTCCATCCACAGCTTTAATTTCACCGAGCTCCGCACCTGCCACGTGTCATGGCCTGACGATCCAGAGTGCAGCCATGGGTCAGTCTAAAACTCGCGGGGAGTACTGGATACAGTGGTTTCCCATACCTTCCCTTGCTAGCCTTTTTAAGGGACTTATGGTATTGTGAGAAAAAGAAGATTCACTTTAAGCGGCGGGTGTTGCTTCGAATTGGACTGTCTTTCACTTGTGGCCAACAATCTCACACACACACATAAACCGCACCTGTGAAAGGTCAATAGCGGCAATCGAAACGCGCCCTTTAAGGACATGCAGTGCGACTCGTCGAGCGTGTCAATCAGCGTCCGCCTCGACGGACACTTGCAGGTCGACTTGTGCCTCTCACGGCTTTTGAGCGGCCCAAGTGAGCCAAAACTAAACCCTGTCGCAGCAACTTGGTGGCTGGAAGGGAACATCAACACGGGTTTTGGCGATGAACTGCATGACCTCAAAGGAAATCACAACTTGGAATGGTTTGTACTATATCTCACTTCCTGAGTTGATGGGCCAAACAAAAGTCCAAACTTATTGTTTCCCACTGAAAAATGGGCTTCTCAAAGGTCTAAAGTCCATGACCTCCGGAAGGGAGGTATGGGGTTCCAAACTCCCTCATTCAGCGTCAGCTCCTGAATGTCCCTCGCTCCACTTCTTGAGGTCCGACTTCG